ACCGGTCGAAAACAATAAAAAATTGGTCTAAAGAGTTTAGACAGTACTTCCCTCGCTGTCGGAAACTTGACGACTGCATGCCTATTGTGTTTTCTTTTCTCATTACATTTTTGTAGTGGGAATTTAAAAAAAAATTGTGATGACGTCATCAACATTTTTGCAAGGACACGTATATCAGTTGGGATAGATGTAGTGTAATACTAAGAATAAAATTATTGTATTCCCAAATTTTCGGGAAAATGAATTGGGTCGTTTTGAATATTGATTTCTTATAATCAATAAAATAACGAAACAATTTACTCACGTATACGGCGTCGGTGTGTAATATCTAGAGAGCGGATTTCTGTCGGGCTAGGCAAGGCCAAACTCGGTACGGCTCGTACGGGATGCGAATTCATTGCGGTTGCGGACTGCACTTCGTTTATTTGAGATTAGAATAACGCTGTTTCGTTGCACTCTGCTGTTAATTCCCGTTCTCATTTACTTAGCCTTTTGATTAATAAATCGTTAATTATATTTATGGAATTAGTACCGATTAAACGTGACGTAGCCCGACAAAAATCCGCTGTCTAGTAATATGAAAGGCAACTGAAAATCGTTTATGTATAAACATTCTTAATTTAAGATGACAAGCGTAACAGCATACGTGAGAGTCAAACAGAGAAACTGTAAACAAAACGACCATCGGTTTTATTGCTTCGACTTCCGCTTATTATATAAAACATTGGGTTTTATTTTAATTCTTGACCGTGAAATTCACAATTAGTTGATTATAAACATGTCTATTCCACATTCGCGGAACCAAGTGAGCGCATAAAACAAATGCAGGTCTGTAATATTAAAGTCGATGTAAATAAGCGTGCTACCCTTATGTTTCAACCGAGTTTTTCCTTTAACAAATTTTGTGTCTACCAAATTGGATTGGTTGGGGTGTAATACTAATAATAAGTGTTGCCTTTAATTTAATCAATAAAATAAATTGACTTCATTAATTTTTTTGAACCACCTCTTAAGAAAATCTAAAAAATATGAATGGAACGATAAATCACAAGTACAAACTCATCATATTTTTTGCATTTTAGATAGGATTTATTCAGCAAAATTTAAGGGTGACGTCATCAATTTTTTTAGGAGGGATGAACAAATACATTTTGAACAAAAGTTTACCATGCTTATAATAACTTTAAAATATTCCCAAGATTTCAAAGCGTTCGGTTTTGTAATTCCTGATTAAATCGATAAAATAAATTCACGCCTTCATTAATTTTTTTGAGTCACCCTGCATATGCAAATCCAAAAATATGAATGGAATGATAAATCACAAGTACAGACTCATCATATTTTGTACATTTTAGATATGATTTATTCGGCAAACTTTCGAGCTGACGTCATCAAGTTTTTGGAGGGGATAAGCAAATATATTTTGACTAAACATTTATTATGCTCTTTATGACCTTAAAACATCTGCAAGATTTCAGAGCATTCGGTTTTGTAGTTCCTAATTAAATCAATAAAATATATTTACGCATTCATTAATTTTTTTGAGTCACCCTGTATATGCAAATCCAAAAAATATGAATGGAGTGATAAATTACAAGTACAGACTCATCATATTTTTACAGTTTAGATAGGATTTATTCCACAAGCTTTCGAGCTGACGTCATCAATTTTTTGGAGGGGATAAGCAAATATATTTTGACTAAACATTTATTATGCTCTTTATAACCTTAAAACATCTGCAAGATTTCAAAGCATTCGGTTGTGTAGTTTCTGAGTAAATCAGTAAAATAAATTTACGCATTCATTAATTTTTTTGAGTCACCCTGTATATGCAAATCCAAAAAATATTAATGGAGTGATAGATCACAAGTACAGACTCATCATATTTTGTACATTTTAGATATGATTTATTCCACAAACTTTTGAGCTGACGTCATCAAGTTTTTGGAGGGGACAAGCAAATATTTTTTGACTAAAGATTTATGATGCTCTTTATAGCCTTAAAACATCTGCAACATTTCAAAGCATTCTGGTTAGCAGATTAAAAATTAAATTTCAAAATGTTGTTTTATAATTTTGATTTTTTTTCCAAAAATCTGGACGTTTCGGGTGAAAAGTCGATTCAGAGTTGTAAACTACATGTGTAGGACTATGTTATTTTATACAATTGAAAACCCATTTACTATGTACAATTTTGAAGTGACGTCATCGCATTAGTGGTGGGGATGATTAGACAAATTTTGGTTAGCGTTTTACCATCTACATGATATTCTTAATATAAGTACAAAATTTCACAACAATCGGTCGAGTACTTTCGGAGATTATCTGTCTAATAAAAATCCGGGACGGCAGACGGACAGACGGCCAGACGGACGGACAGACGGACAGACGGACAGACAGACGGAAATGGGAGACCTATTTCTTCGTCTTCTAGGGGTCATGAAAGATCGAGAAAACGTAAAAGTAGAGAGTCGGCCGACGGACTCGATTACAATACTTCCTTTGCTTACGCTCGGGAAGTAAAAATCTAAAAAATCGAAGAAACAAATCGTGTTCAAAGTGGATAAAACACTATGGATCTATATTTGTGGCTTATCAGTACATTAATTTCTTTGTTTGTGGTTATTTCGCTGTTTAAATCCGAGGAAATAACTTAGTTATTCTGGAGTAAATGCAAGCAATAAAATATATGCAAAGATGAATTTTTTCTTTGCAAATATCATAAACTCAACACTAAGACTTAAAATTTTGTATGTACCACTGGTATTATGATTTGATCTGACGTTCGTTGGAAAGCGCATCACTTGAGAATGGCTGGACCGATTTGTTTTTTTTTTTTAATGCTCATAATAGTTGAAAAAGGTTTTTAGAGAGAGAAAAATGGGAAATGCTGCCCGGAAATTTGGAAAATTTTAGAAAAACTGAAAGTGCCTTTTTCAATAGAATTTTTGCATGAACTCAGACTATAACTTACCATTCGAACGATGGATGAAGGTAAGAAAGTCAGAAAATTCAGACAAACTGCAAAAATCATCATTTGTGTATGCACTGTCGATAATAACTGACGATAGGGACGACATATTTGGCTGGGATGAAAATAACTCAATTGCATGTTTTCAATTAAAAAAATATCTCGAAGGTATGAAGAAAAATATAGTTATTTTATTACTTTAATTTATTTCGTTACATACTCAAATGTCGTTTGACAGCTCATTGTCAAATTGTGAATCAAGCCAATCGGAACGAAAAATTGTAACGAAATGGCGATGTCACATCAAACAACTCGAAACAAAGCATTTCTTTGTTTCGATTGTTTACTTGAACATCGATCTTGCAATTGCAATCAAAATCGAAATGTAAATAAAACACCTTAAGATTCATGGTGATTTCAAATTTAAAGGAAGAAAATAGAATTTGGTTGACAAGAAATTCTGACTTAATTCAATTGTATCTTAAATTTTGGAACAAAATCTCATGGTTCTAAGTCCATCACATCCATCGGACTTTTTCAGCTCGACAACTCAGGTAGCGGGCGCAACTCGGATACCTCCCTTCATCCAAATCATGTTGCTTATGCGTTACTACGGCGCTAAATCAATATTACAAAATTTGGAAAGCGCTAGCAGATGGAGTGAATAAGTGAATAAGTAAGTGTTCCTCAAGAAATTCGTGCTTTCGTTACTCTGGGCAATAGAGGAAATAATTCCAAGCACGGTTTAACATACTAGTGAACGACACTAACTATCAACATTCAAACTACGATTTTGAAACTCATTAGAAATGGAAGACACATAACCTGAATTATGGGAACAAATAATATTACATTGAGCATCGGATGAAATATGAATATTCCCTCCAATAATTTTCTTATCAATTTGAATTTTATTTCCGAAGAAATCTAGAATGTATTTTTCTACCATTAACCTGGAGGGCCAATACCCATGTCTTTTCATCACTGTCATACTTGCGTCTACCTTAACGAGGTGAACGATGATTTCTTCCTTTTTCGGTTCTCCATTTATTCAAAATCTAGTACTTACTCCTTTTGGTACATTACTAAAAAATCAGGTAATTCGAAGATGTTCAAGCATTAGGTACGTGAACTGTTGTCAAATTTACTTTTATAAAAGTAAGTTTTCTTTTTGTAATTTACATCTTGAAGAATTTTTTTATTATTTTTGTGGGACTCCAGAAACCCCCGTATATAACGTACTGAAGAGTTAATCTACCATTTTCTGAACACCCGGTATATCGACCATTGGGATAGATTATTTTAAAACTTTGAATATGATAATTTCAGATTAGTTAAGTGAAGTAAACAAAAAGTAAATTTATTTCTCCTGTGGAAATTTTACAGTGGTACAAGTACACAATCTTGCAAAATTTTTGAACTAGTCATATTGAAGTTTCCTACAGAAAAAATTCGCAACATTAAATACGAAAATTGCACATAGTGCTTGGATAATGCGGAACCACAACGTTTTACTCGAGCGCGCCATTTAAATTTCTGTAAAGTCGTAATTTCATAGAAATGTTAGCAAATTACATCGAAATTTACCATAGAGAATTTTGAAATTTTTATTATGGAAGTGACAAAGAAAGTTTGGGTAAATGCTTTATATCTAACGTTTGATTCAAGCGCTTTTCTAAAACTTCCGTGGAATACTATATTAAATGGTCCGAAATTATATTTAAAAAATGTTTGGTCATTTCACTCTAAAAACCAAACAAAAATATCTCCTAAGACGATTTATTGCCATTAACCATTTTGAAAAAAAGTAAATACTTAAATAAAACGGTGCCCCCTTCTGATCTGTTGGTGTAGCAGTTCTGAAAAACATGCTTTGAAAACACCTTCTTTAATATCGTCTTAATTAAAAAAAAAAAATGCGAAATAAAAAAATTGCTCATATCGACAATTCTTATTGTTTCATTTTTCTGGCTGCTTGTCATCGGCGGTGGCGGAGAAAACAGATCCAGTTTCATCTAGATCGCAGTCGTTGAAACCAACGCTGTTGTCATTGTCTTTTCCTGTTTGCGTTAGCAGCTGTTCTGTGGTTAGCACTATTTGTGCTCCACTGGCGTTTGTAACATCTATCAACGAGTGCGAAAAGGAAAGTGTGTTGGGGTTCATTTACGGTGTGAATTATTTAACCAATACAAAAGCGGTAACTTATATTAGCGTTTGTTTCTTTTCATCTTCGGTGAGTAAATTTTAAAATGATTTATTTTTTTTAATGAAATTTACAAGTGAATTACATAACAGCGTAGTCATTTTTATTTTATTTTGTAGACACAATTAAATTTCCAGGGCGAAAAGAGGAATGCAGAAGGAGAAAGATTTCCCATGTCGTTGTGCAGTTACTTAATTAATTTTATAAATTAACACCCGTCTCTGAATGCTTTCAAATGGAATTCAACACCAGTACATCATCGTCAGAATCGTCGGCAGATACACATAGTAAGTAAATTTTATAAATTTGGATGCTTTGAAATCTTGCAGATGGTTTACAGTTATGATAAGCATGATAAATTTTTAATCAAAATATATACCATTCATATTTTTTGGATTTGCATATACGGGGTGACTCAAAAAAATAAATGAATGCGTGAATTTATTTTATTGATTAAATCAGGAAGTACAAACCCGAATGCTTTAAATCTTGGAGATGTTTTCAAAGTTATCATAAGCATGGTAAATTTTTAATCAAAATGTATTTGCTCATCCTCCCTAAAAAATTGATGACGTCACCTGAAAATTTTGCTGAATAAATCCCATTTTAAATATGCAAAGTATGATGAGACAATACTTATGATTTATCATTCCATCCACATTTTTTGGATTTGCATATACAGAGTGACTCAAAAAAATTAATAAATGCGTGAATTTATCTTATTTATTTAATCAATCAGGAACTACAAAACCGAATGCTTCGAAATCTTGGAGATGTCACAGCAAAATTTTAAAATATCAGTTACATGATTTTAAATTTAATATTTCATTTTATAGTGTGAGACAAAGGAGTTCATTTAACCGATGTTATAAAAAACAAGAGATCTGGGAATTACTATATATCATCACACGAAGATTCTGACGAAGACGATCCTTATGCGGATGCAGAATTTACAGATGACGAATATATACCACGTAAGTCAAAAAAAGTTAAATCAAGTAACTGTCGTTTATTAACAACATTACAGGACGGACAATAACCCCAATACCGTCTGAGCCTCTTTGCACCAGAGTGAGCAAATCAAAAGTTAAGCGCCGACTATTTACTAAAGAAGGTATGTTTAGGTAATTACTTTGTAATATTGTCAAATCATTTAGTATAATTTTGCAGGCAGCGAGTGTGGTGGGGAACAAACACACATCACCCAAATTAAAAAAGCTTGTAGTAAGATAAAAATTTATAACTCTGGTAAAGTTATTCTTGAAACTACAGACACATTTCATGAAGGGAAGTATAGTAGTCCAAAAGCTATAAGGTTATATGGCCATCATAAAATTATCCCATTGTGTCGAAGTTAAGTTGTTTACAATAGAAAAGGGTTTAGGGTCGTAAATAACGTGTCCACTGCAGCTCGACCGGCTGTTGTGGTTTCGTTCAGGGGCGGCTTTCACTAAATATGTAAATCCACCATTCCATTATTTATTTACTACCTGCAGCCGCTGAGGGTTCCAAAATAACCACTCGCTTTGAAAGCTGGCCCTGTTAAATGTGAGCAAGAAATGTTTAGAAAACGATTTATTGCCAACCGGTAAGCTTAGTGCGAACCGCATAAAGGGGATATTTATTTGTGGTCAACTACTTTTATGATGGTCATATAACCTTATAGCTTTTGGACTAGTATACAATGTCAGTATGTTCAGTGCTGGACTGTGTCATTCTGATGAAAGATATCTGAGTTGTCACGTTTTCGACCAAAGTATTAATCACGATTGTAAATGTAGGTATACTTGCTTCCAAAATAAGAGAGTAAAACTACCTGCAAAACTGACTTGACTTTTAGGGATTTCCAACCCTAAGCGGTAGGTGGGCCAATAGGAATGATTGACAGCTTGTAACAGGTATAATGGATTAAGCTTATTATGATATCCTAAAAGTCAAGTCAGTTTTACATGTAGTTTTACTCTCTTATTTTGGAAGCAAGTACAATAATGATCACTTATAGCGAACCCGGTTAAAGCGAACTTCCTGATATAACGAACCAACTTGCAAAGTACGAACTGAAGTACTATAAGATAAGTGTTATTTTTTTCCGATTATAACGAACCCGCTTATAGCGAACTTTCGGATAAAATGAACCAAATTTTTAATATTTAAGAAAAAAAAATCGTTTATAACGAACTTTTTCACCAGTCTCGACAATGGACAGGAACACTTTTGTGTGAATCTATTAGATCCCGTCAATTTTATCAGTATAGCATGGCAAAAAGTATCAGAACAAACAATTGCTAATTGTTTTCGACATGCTGGGTTTCTCCAGTGTGAGGAAAAATTTGAACCAGGGGTGGGATTTTGTTTCTACCGATACGATACGATACGAAGCGATAAATGACAAGGACGAAAATATAAATTTCAGATGCGAAAGAAAAAGACGACATTTTATCGGTACCGATATTTTATCGTTATAGAAACAAAATCCCACCCTAGAAGACGAACTACTATTGGCTGAATGGCTGAGTAAGCACGAAAGCAATTCTGACGATGAATTTGATATCGACTTCGAAGAATATTTTAGTGAAGTCTGAAATTTTGGATGATGCTGCTATTGTAGAATTAGTTCAATGCAACATTCAAATAGAAGATGAGACTGAAGACGATGATGATAACGAAGAAGAAGAAGAAGAAAAAGAGGGAACGATCCCAAAACCCTCTTAAATTAATCTTTCTCACAAGAAGCAACGTAAAATTTGAGATTATTGTAACAACTTTTATTTTTAATCAACTTTTATTAATCAAGTTTTTTTTTCTTATATGTACTACTGTATTATTATCTTTACATGTTAATATTTTTGTAATACTTTTAAATGTTGCATCCTGAAATACATAGTTCAGTTTATGAAAGTATGTATTGATTTTTTTGAGATCATTTATGACGAACTTCGGATATAACGAACTACTTTTCCCAGTCCCATGAGGTTCGTTATAACCGAACATTACTGTGTAAGTGTAATAATGTATTGTTTTTTACAGTGCACTGTTATTTAGAATCGTCGTATGGTAAGAACATTGGTTTTTTTATATAGACAAGAAAAAAATTTAATATGTGATATACTATTTTGTATTCCATCCAATATAGTATTAGAAGCTACCGAAACAAAAGCAGATCACATAAATCAAATAATAACACCTTTAATAATGCAGCCTGTAGATTCTGAACGGAAACCTTCTACAAAATTGAAAGGACACTATTGTTACTATTGCGGTAAATTAAGAACCTGCATGGGTCGCCATTTGCAAAAGGTAATGATCATAAATTTCGCTTCTCTTCATGATGTTATGGTTTTGCAGGTCCATGCAAAAGAAGCTGAAGTGAAAAACATGTGCTTCAAGCCAACAAAGGAGAAAAACAAACTGTTACGTCAGCTTCGATTGAAAGGTGATCAAAAATTTAATTGCAAGTTAATTTACATCAAAGACGAAAACCGATAAGACAAAAGTTAAGTGAAAGTATTCACTGCCCCATTTGTTCTGGTTTGTTTGCAAAACGAAATTTTGCCAAAGATGAATTAAGATGTTCAAAAAGAGCTCCAGACAGAAGGCGACGGCGGCAAAATGCTTTATTTTAGATCAGGGACAGATGTCAAAAAGTTTAGAGGAAAAACTTCATATTAAACTCGTAAGCAACATGATAAATGATGATATTGGTGTAGTAGCAAAAAATGATCAAACAATACTTTTGCTTGGAATACATTTACGCAAGCTAAACTCATTGATAACACTAGATCACAGATGAGGCGATGTGCAAAATTGTTTTTGATTATTAAACAGCTGTTTTATGCCATCGAAATACAAATTAATAATGTAGGCCATACGTACTCTTACAGGTTCTAAAGATGAAGAGGTTATCACCACTCCATCTCTTGCTTTACAGTTCGGTCCATTATTGACGAAAATTGCCTCTCGTTTAAAAATTCGGCTTCTTGAAAATAATGTAGCTGAATAAGATCCACGAATGATAACGCTTAGAAATTTTGAAATGTTACATAAACAAGAATTTAAAAATGAAATTACTAAAACGGCTTTAAAAACGGCGAACATTAAAAGTGTTAAAACCACAAAGGAAATACCAAGTCAGGATGCTGTAAAAGTGTTCAACGAATACGTTAAAAATATTTTGAGTCAAAGCACAGGACAACTGAAAAGTGGAAATTTGGACATTAGATCCTGGAAGACATTGGGTGAATGTATATTATGCGAAATAATAATATATAATCGTAGACGATTAGGAAGGAGAAAGTTCCCGCATGCTTTTGGAAGATTACAAAACAAGAAAACAGCTCTAACATAAAAATTATAAACATCTTAATCTCCGTCAACGTATATTGGCCGAAAAATTTTCATTTATGTTCATCTTGGGTAAACGACATACACCTCTTAATCTGCTGCTGAAACCATATAAAGTAAGCATTTCGTGCATGCTGTTTTTCACGAAACGTCAAATTTTCTATAAATATATTTTGCTGAAGAATTCTTGTAAATTTGATGTTTCGCATTTTTTATCTACTCTTTAAAATATTTTTTAACTAAAAGTAAATATTTTAGAGCCCTCGAATTTTATATGTCATTTCGACAGCAAGCACAAATTCAAGAAAATAATGTATTTCTCTTTGCTTTCAATAATAATAATGGTCACCTCTAAGCGTCAGTGGCCCTTCGAAAATTTGTTCATAACGCTAACCTTAGAACACCCAGATAGAGCACCCTGGTATTTACTTAAGGAAGCAAGTAGCTACCCAGGCACAGATCTTAGATCTAGCCCATAATGAAATGCAGCACGTGGCAGATTACATAGCACATGATTTAAATATACATTTGTCGAACTGTAGACTGAATGATGCTTCAGTTAACATTTTTACGTTATCAAGGTTTTTGAGTGTTATTGATGGAGAAGATGATATTGAGAAATATCGAGGAAAAAGATTAGAAGACTTAGAACCGTTTATTCCTCATGAAGACTATGACGTTGGACATATGATTAATGATGAACCAAGTAAGTTCAGATTCTGGACTACCATCAAGTAAATAGTGGAAGATATACATTTAGTACATACTAATTTCTTAGAATTTTTTTCCTACTAATAATTTCGGATTTATAAAGTTAGTCTTAACGAGAATTGCTTATGAATAATGGTATAGGTACTCTTTCGTCTGTTTTATAGTTATGAATTGTAACCATAATTCTGTGAATTAATGCTTTTCTGCAACTTATAAAAATTTGATTAATTTTTTGTTTTTCACGTACGTTATTAGTGCAGATAAAATTGTTTCACAAGATAATTCCAGGTCTTACAAATAAATTAAAATAACCGAATTTTTTAGCAAAAATCTGCTTTCCGGAAATTTATCATACATATAATTATATTTTCCTGAAATACACATGTAGTATGCACTAAAATTACTTAATTTTTATGTAGGTATTGAAAAAAGAAGCACACTACTTGTTAAAACACCGCCGAAGAAACGAAGTCCTCTAAAAGTAGTTAGTTCGACATCTTCACGAAATCCAACAACTCAAGAAATTGAAAGTCAGTTAACAAATCTGTCATTACGTTTATATCACAGCTCTTTATGTAAGAGGGGAAGAAAGTTAAAGTGGACTACAGAAGATATACATATCATGCATAGAGAGTTCAAGGAATATTTAAAAAATAAAAGATTGCCACAACTTTCTCTTCGCAGGCTTATTCAAAGAAAATATTTCCATATTTTTCATAAGGGGCGATCTGTGGGTGCAAAATAGAGTCCGAAATGTTGTTGAGATCTAATAAAATAAAGTGTTGAATAAAATACCATGAGTTTTAATTAGATAATGTTCCAACTATTAAGAGTTTAGTAAAACTGATCACGTCAATTTAAAAGTTGCTATTTTAATATAGTAAGATTGCTATGTAGAACTGTACCAATTAATGAAAGTAATTTCGAATATTAATTCGCTGTGTGCAGACCATTTATCAAATTAAAAAAAAACTGAAATATAAAACCTATTTGCCAGTCAAGTCTATAAAAATTATCCTTGTTAAATAAAACAAATAAAAAATAATCTAAAAGTTAAGATATCAACCCAAAAAAATAGATCCTAAAGTCCCTAGATTACTACTAGTAATCTAGGGACTTTAATAGATCCCAATTCCATGCGCCATCTACCGAAAATATTTCTAACATAAAATTCACTTTTGGTTTAAACGAGCGTCCCAAATTCTTATGATTTTTGTGCTCGCTTAAGGTTGTTTGAACTATTATTATTATTATTATTATTATATTATATTATTATGCTTGCATAATCTAGTTTCGCTCTTACATAGGAGACATATAATTTTTTTGTAATTGATAATTGATTAAAATCACGACCGTTTCTAATAATAAATCCCAATGCTTTAAGCGCTCTGGAAATAATTGCTGTATAATGAAGTTTGAACATTGATTCTGTGTCAAAAGTTACTTCCAAATCCTTAATATAATTCAGTTTTTTTAAAACTACTCCATTCATTTTATATTCAGATTTGATATACATTTTTTTATTACACCTCGAAGCTGCTTGACATCACTCGGATTAGTTATTCTGAAAAATAGTTTCAACAGCATACAGTAGACAAGGAACCGATAAATTATCAACAATATCTTTAATATACAAGTTAAACAGTAATGGTCCCAGTATAGACCCTTGTGGGACACCAGAAAGAACAGAAATCTAGACAACATTCCATTAATAACGACACATTGAGTACACCCGGACAAATATGAGTGCAATAAGCTGATGATATTATTGGATAAACCAAAGTTACCAAGTTTTTTTATGAGATTCGCATGATCTATTCTGTCAAAGGCATTCTTAAAATTTGTATAAATTACATCTACTTGCCGCTTGTTTTTAAATGCTTCACATAAATACTGGGTCAGGGGCCAATTCCAAGTTGGTGGCGCAAGTCACTGGTGCAGCGCAACTTTATAATGCTAATTTGGGTATCAAATGCTGGTTGCTAGGGGTGACGGAATAAACAAACGCAATTTTTCGAGATAAATTGCGCCAACTTGCACTGCCTACTAGAGGTGCCGCAACTCCATGGTGCAAATTTCAATGGAAAATTCAACACAACTGCGTTTCTTATTTATTACTCCATAACGTGCATATTTTACTGTGTTAAGATTAATATCTGAAGTTTTTGTGACATGAGTACTTCAAGGAGACGCTGTTTAAATAATCCAAATAATTTTTGCTACATTTGCGGAGAGTATGTGTTTAAGAATTGTCGGAAAGTTATATCAGAGTTGGTAAAAAACACTTATATTCTGTATTTTAAAATGTCCTTGGATAAAAATGACAAGTCTTGGGCACCTAATTGTGTTTGTAAATCGTGTGTTGAATATTTAAGATTATGGAAAAGTGGTAAAAGAAGTGCGTCTAAATTTATAACACCAACTATTTGGCGAGAACCACAAAATCATCTCGATGACTGTTACTTTTGTAGCGTGAACATAAATGGCACAAACACGAAAAATAGAATCAAATGGCAACACCCAAGTCCTACTTGTGTTCAGCTTCCACTGCAACATTCACCTGACTTTTTACTGTCTGAAAATATATCTGAACCTTTAAACATCATCTGACACTACAACACCAGGCTCATTACAAAGTGATGCTAATTTTGAAAGTATAACAAATGAGCCGCAACGCTTTTCCCAAAACGAGTTAGATGATCTTGTAAGAGATTTGAATCTTTCTAAACAAGCTTCAGAATTGTTGGCATCAAGGCTGAAAGAAAAAAAAATTACTTTCTCCAGGCACTACAATAACTTTTTATCCTGAAAGAGAAAAAGATTTGCGTCGGTATTTTTCAGAAGAAAACAATATTGTCTTTTGTTCAGACATTAAAAACTTATTGCCGCCATTTTCCTAAGTCAACACATCACAGAAGAGCTTTAAAGCGAAGTTTCTTAGAACTCAATGGTTAATTTAATTTTTTGATATTTTTTTCTTAATAAATACTTGTTTTTTTCTGTTTTAAACGTACATAGCTGAAACTGAAAAACTAAAGCTGATAAAAAAAATTTACTTATGTATTTGAAATTAGGATAATATATGTACTCAACAGCAGCTAAAATTTTTCCGGCAACAAATGTATTGTAAACTAGTGTTATCTTTCAAGAAAATATCTAATAAAACAGCGTATAGGCAAAGTAAATTATTATTTGCTTGAATTTAAGGCTATGATTTAAATTGGAAGTGGTTGTAATGATGCAAAGTTTAATTATAACAGTAGCAGATTTAGTATATCTATAACTCGTATAAAATGTTTATTTATTGTTAGTTTTAATAATAGGGTTACCTACATTTGAAAATTAACTCTATAAACACATCTTTCACACAAAAAAATATTGATGTTTCACCTAATCATTACCCGCAGTTAATGCCTTGGAGACGAGTTATATTAAGCTACCCGTAATGCCCATGGTTGTTATGAAAGTATAACACCCGTTGTCCCTAGTTTCTATTATACAACGCCCGCTCATGATTTTTTTTTTTTCAATGACAAACGTCATAGTTATTTTGACGTTGCATGTTTAATTAATTTAAGGTGAAACATAAAACGTGATTTATTATTGGACGAGGCTTAGCCGAGTCTGATAGCACGGCCTATGGTGCACGCGTTACGATCCGAATTACATCCAAAATCTTATCTACTAGCATGAAATCGTTTATGCATATGCATAAAAAAATGTCAACATCATAACAAACAAGAGTCTTACTGGTATATTTTGAAAAATTGTCCGAGACCAAAAAGGGATCGTCCCTGTGGACATATGTTTCCATGCTAAGAAGTGTTTTATCAGTCAAAAAATGCTTATAGACATAAGCAAAAGCGCATTTTTGAAAAGGAAATTTGATGAATATAAGGGTGAAAAATCTACAATTTTAACTAAAAGATTTTTTTTAGTTAAAATATTTATTTACCACAAAATTCTTGATGAAAACTTAGTAGATAGTAACTTTGTTATAAATATTAGTAAATAATATTTGTACATTGTTTAATATAACAACTAAAATTTGGATTGACTTTTCTTGCAACTACAAATTTGAATGAGGATTTTCATTATAGTCCTATGACTATAATGAAAATGATTATGGTCGTAGTACTTCAGTATTCATCGTTATGGGATCGAAGTTGACATTCATAAGGGTGTCATTATGACATGTTAGCAGATAAAATTATTGTTTTATGTAACTGCATTTACAATGTGAGCGTTGCAATGTTACACCATCAATACTATAAATTGCAGAGACAAAACAGCAAATTTTAAGTGATGTCGAATCAGCCCCGTTTAGTCCCGGAGGTACTTCAGATGAATATATTCCAAGTACTGTAAGTAATGAATGTTTAACACCCTAATTAACTATCGAATTGTACCTATTTACATGGATTATTCTGTTTATAGGATGAATCTTCAAATGATAATACGGAGTACATTATTTACATCGTAAATATAAAATCTCTTCATAAATTTGTGTGTAATATAGTTTTACCGGCAACTGTATTAATTCTTATTTCAGTCTCCTAAACGTAATAAGGAATCTTACCATCTCTCCAATAAAAACTTAAGCGAAGAGACTACTTCTATTACAAAAATGGTAATAATTTATGGTAATAATTTAATAAATACACATAATTTCTTTATAATGTGGGCACTTTAGGATGAATGCAACTAACACAACTAACGTTTGCCCAATTGAAACTAAAGTTCGAAGTACATACTCCTCTAGAAAATATTGTGATCACTTAGTGATCCAAATTTCTGAGGGAATTAGAATAGCGATATTCACAACTAACGTTTGTCCAATTGAAACTAAAGTTCGAAGTACATATTCCTCTAGAAAATACTGTGATCACTTAATGGTCCAAATTTCTGAGGGAATTAGAATAACAATATTCACAACTAACGTTTGTCCAATTGAAACTAAAGGTCGAAGTACATATTCCTCTAGAAAATACTGTGATCACTTAGTGATCCAAGTTTCTGAGGGAATTAGAATAGCGATATTAACAACTAACGTTTGTCCAATTGAAACTAAAGTTCGAAGTACATATTCCTCTAGAAAATACTGTGATCACTTAGTGATCCAAATTTCTGAGGGAATTAGAATAGCGATAATCACAACTAACGTTTGTCCAATTGAAACTAAAGTTCGAAGTACATATTCCTCTAGAAAATACTGTGATCGCTTAGTGATCCAAATTTCTGAGGGAATTAGAATAGCGATATTAACAACTAACGTTTGTCCAATTGAAACTAAAGTTCGAAGTACATATTCCTCTAGAAAATACTGTAATCACTTAGCGATCCAAATTTCTGAGGGAAGTTGAATAGCGATATTAACATCTAACGTTTGTCCAATTAAAACTAAAGTTCCAAGTACATATTCCACTACAAAATACTGTGATCACTTAATGATCCAAATTTCTGAGGGAATTAGAATAACAACATTCACAACTAACGTTTGTCCAATTGAAACTAAAGGTCGAAGTACATATTCCTCTAGAAAATACTGTGATCACTTAGTGATCCAAATTTCTGAGGGAATTAGAATAACGATATTCACAACTAACGTTTGTCCAATTGAAACGAAAGTTCGAAGTACATATTCCTCTAGAAAATACTGTGATCACTTAATGATCCAAATTTTTGAGGGAATTAGAATAGCGATATTCACAACTAACGTTTGTCCAATTGAAACTAAAGTTCGAAGTACATATTCCTCTAGAAAATACTGTGATCACTTAGTGGTCCAAATT